TTTTTCCCAAATAATCACCTATGAAATTATACTAAAACAATTATTCACCTCAGGCTCGGTGATTATCGTGAATAAAAACCTCGACTTCGTCTCGGTTTTTATTCACCGATAATCACCTCGCCTTCGGCGAATAATTGTTAAATAATAAAACACTTATTTACTGAGACCTCGGGAAGGCAGTGTGTTTTGTGGACCCTCGACCGTCGATGTTTCCCTCGGCTTCGCCTCGGGCAACATCGACGATCTCGGGTCCACAAAACACACTGTTTCCCTCGGTCTCAGTAAATAAGTGATAATTATTCACCACATGACTAGTAAATAATGCTTTTCAAAAAGAATGATTCGACAAATTTGGTTTCAATTTCGACGAAATATTGAAAAAATCGTCCTCAGAAAACGAAAAAAAGAACAAAATGTTGTATTTAACTTGAAAGATAGGATTTCGTTATCATTTTATTGTGTCAAACATATTCACGGACAATTTAAAACTTATTTAAAACTTATTTACAAAGATTTATCCTACAAAATTTGAAACTTAAAACTTATTTAGAAAGATCGGTGCAAAGCATATCAACGTTAACAAGAAAGGACAAATCTAATGCGTATTTTAAAAACATTACATATGTAGAAATGGTGGCCACTGAAAAGCCCATAAATGTTTGTTATAAAACCGCGCTCGAGTGTGAAGAGATCATTGAATAATAACACGAGAGAGCACTGCGAATAACGATTTGCTTGGTTTCTTGACTTGCAGGAATGTTCTTGTAAGTTCAAAAAATTAGCAAGTATTTTGAACTTAATAATTCGCAAAATTTATGTTTTTAACTATTTGTAATTTGATACTTTCCCCACACCCCTTCGGGCGCCAAATGTTGGACGAGGCACGTAACCAGCCGATACAAGGGTCTTTCCTAAAGACCCTGGGAACGAGGTTGCTATGAGTGCTTCGCCGACCATCAGCGACATATGAAACCTGGCTTAAGGTCCAGACATACAAGACGCGATTCGACAACGCGACGCGATTTTTTAGTTTTTGAAAGTTAAAAAAAGCCAAAGAGAGCAAATTTTAAAAGATATGTAGACCAAATAACTCAAAATGTTATAATGCATCTAAATCTTTAGAAAGTTTAAAGTAGGATCAAAGTTATCTGTCAGTGAAAGTCGAAAAACCGCGTCGCGTTGTCGAATCGCGTCCGGACTTTTAAGTAGAGCCAATATTATCAAAGGTTGACATTAATATTATGATAGGTCTAGCTAGAGGCGCTGAAGTTAGGGTTGAGAATTTATACAGCGTTGCATTAATATAAAAGCATTTTTATGCTTGTTGTAGAACTTTTTTTTGTACTTTGCATTTATGTTGTGATAGGCATAGAATTATAACGTACAAATCAACGTTATACTAAACAGTCAAGATTATTGTCCGGGGGTGGGGATATAGACCCAATTTGTTTGCCCATGCAGGGGTGGGGCTTTAGCGCAGTTTTCTTTCCCTGGGTTGGGGACATAGCCATTTTCTTTCCAGAAATGGCAATTTTTTTCAGGAGGGGTGGGGGGATGGGCACCGCTGGAATTGACCGATACATTATTTTGAGAACAGGCTCTTCATCAGGAAGTAATTAGTACTGTAGCCTACGTATTTTGTCTTGTCCGCCTCATTTTTCACTATACATTTCACTAACTTAACCAGTGGTAATTAATGAGTTTATAATTGTATTCCCTATGTTCTTATTAACGCAGAGTCCTAAGGAACACAGTATTATGTATTTACCATATGAAGTTCAGGACAGAAGCATTTATTTGATTTTCAATTTACCTCACTTTAATGCGCTGCAAAAGATTTTTATCATCTAAGGTAAATATTACTATTTTACTCCTGGGGCCGGTTGTATCAAGCGCGTTTAGTTTAAACGGTGGATAAGTCAACATTGAATAACACTCTTTTCTCTCTTGTGAAACATTATCGTTCTATTAATGTTCAAAACTTTTAGTTTGGTTGTTGAATGAATCTATAGACTTGCTTTCTATTTTGTGCTTAACCACACTGTAAATTCAAAAGAGTAGTTTTGACCCCTAGGGGTCATTTCCGTCCCTTTGGAAAGAGGGTAGTTTCTACACCTCGAAAGGGTCGTTTCAACTCCAAGGGTAGTTTTGACTCCATGGAACGGTCAAAATAACTCTTCACAGGAGTCTTGCGACTCCACATGAGAGTAAAATTACTCTTCGAAGGAGCCAATTTGACCCATCTCTGAGTCAAATTGCGAAGAGTAATATTGCGAAGAGTAAGGCGCATATTTGCTTACGAGCCTTCTACACTAGAATAGTGTTTGTCAGCAGCTGGAGTGTATAATTAAATGAATATTTTCAAATACAACTCTAATAAATATATTTTCAACTCGATTTGAAAACATTTACAACTTTATATTTTATTTGTAAAATGTTGTAAAATGTTGGCAGTTCTTTGTAGATAGTCCTTCTTCATGCATTTTATTTAAAAGATCATAACCTTTGAATGTTTGATCATGGGGTTCGAGACGTCGAGCATGCTATTTTATATAATATTAAAATTCGGAGAGCCAGAAGTCACGAATAGACGTTTTCCCGACAATGTCAATCGTAAGTCAAAGTGAAGTTTATTATAATCTTGCGAGAGCAAAATAATACGCTATTAACATTTTTTATAGCTTATTAAATATCAATCTAGAGAGAATGACTGCCAATAAGGCAAAAACATTATGTCAATATTTAGTGTGATAATATGCACTAGTCATTTATTTTTAAATCCCTAACCCTTTGGCATATACCCTCATACCTTTGGTAAAGCATGCAGCTCCTCATATTCACAGGTTTATCACTTCCTGGTAAACATGGAAGTACGTACCACTACTAGTACTAATAGCTTCACTGCCTTGGTTATGCACCAGTCATTTGGGATCCCCTACCCCCACCTTGCACTTACCGGTGGGAAAGCGGGGGCGACCATATCATATTCATTGGTTTATTATTCCAGTTTTCCTAGGAAACTGGGAAGACACTAATACATTCACCACCTCGGTGACCAAATCGGAGAATGGTGTGGGATTCTGTTGATGTCACTCCAAAAATTTTAGTAAAATAATATTAACAAGGAGTCAAGTCAGTCAACTTCACGTTCCAACCCTCAATCAAAGTACCACTTTTTTAGATTTAAACTCAGTTAAATATTCTGTAAAAAGTTCAATTGAGTATTCAGGGATGACAAGACTGGGGGAATACAATTCATCATGTCTTTTTTGTCCTGGTGGTGGGAATTCACTGGAATTTTAATCACCCAGGGAGTCGGGTGTTTCAAATGATGGGGCATTTCTTAATCCGAAAATGGCTGGGGATTCACTTGTATTAGTTACAGTATACTATTACTGATGTAAAAAAAACCCTTGCATATTTTATTAATAATATTTTGATAAGTTGTTCTAGTTGTAGGAAGTTTACGGTTTTAAAAATGAAATTTAATTAAGGTCTGGTCACACTACACAATGATACGATAAACATGCGATGTTGGTGAAAAAATTGTGTTGGTGAAAATGACAAAATTATAGTTTGACGATAACAATTTTATAATCACTCACCCAAGCAATTTTTTTCAGTCAAATTTTTTACCAATCAGCGGACCTATATATACAAGTTATCATTATTATTCTGTAATGTGACCGGGCCTTTATCCTAGTCCCATGAGATTGTACTGATTCCCATCCCCTTCAATGACAAATTAAATACATTGTTCAACACATTGGACATTGTTCAACACCTTACTACGAGGCAGTGGTGGAAGAAAGAATAGTGGCTGTCAGAAGATTTTGAAGTTGTTAGAGGTAATGTGACATGGAAATTTCACACTATACCAAATTAAACCAGAGAAGAGAAATTTTCCCCTATCAGTCAGTATGTTGATATTATGTTATTGCACTTAAACCGCTAGTGCGAGAGTCAACCATGCAAAATTGTCCATTTTGAGTAACTATACGCAGGGGTATAGTTTAGCTATTACACATTTTACAGGTCTGATCCCAGGCCTAGCGCAAGTGTCATTTGTATATTCAAGTTTGATTCAACATAAAAAGAGAATTCATTTTAATTAAACCTCTCTGCCATTGTGGTAATTAATTGTCGGTATTCAAAGTTTCAAACCTAAAGTTGAATGGTGTATATCAACTGTTCTAGTAAGAATGGTGTCAGAATATTTATAATTGTGAATAACACGCACTGATTAGTAAATGCAATTATATTTTGTAGGGAAATGATGATGTGGATCGCCAAATTAAAGCAGCAGTGTCACCGTCGATCTTTTTGTCACTGGCAAACAGCTAGCATGACAGCATGACATTTCTGCCAAGGCAGACCTCGGCCACCTGTCACACTGATAATCAGTGGAAAACAGGAAGCATTCTATTGTTGTTGTTTTAGAGGTAGTGTCGTTGGGAATTACCGTTGGTTCAGGGTCGGGTGTTCGTATTTTCAGCGCGAAGACGAAGGACTTCAGTGGGTAGCGGTCCAAATGAGCATCGGACCGTGTCGACGCAGTTCGACGTGAGGCGGTTTTTTGCTTTAAACTTTGTCTTGGTGTCTACTCAAAGGCGGTTGAAAACATTATAAACTGAAATGTTTTGCAGCCTTTTGCTGATACTCTAAAGCATGTCGGCAGAACAAATGCCACTAGTGTCGTTGACTTGGCAAACCTGATTGGCAGAAAATCTATTTGATAAGTTTGGCCGGATATCTGTTTTCCTTGCTTATCTACTCCTTTTGGGGCTTTTTCCCATTAGGTTATATATATATATATATATATATATATATATATATATATATATATATATATATATATATATATATATATATATATATGTATATATATATATACTGTAAGTAGGGATGTTACGACCTATTAATCCCAATTTATTTTTGAAAATAAATTAGTCCTTTATTACATCTATTACTCAACATGTTTTTACTCGCAATGAAGACACCAATGACCACTTGACATGTTAGGAAGAAACGAGATCAAGATTCAAAGTAAGAATAAAATAATTTCTTAAGGACTGGTATTATAAAAATTATTAACCATAAAATATGGAAATGGACTTCGTTTCTTCACACCCAAAACACTGTATCTTAAGCCAACGTTCCAATTTAAACATCCTTGCGATTTGTTCGGGTTATTAAACATCAAAATGACTTGGTGTAACTGTACCTCGCCATTGGTTTTCCGTTATATCCTTTGTATTTCTTATCAATTTTATTGGCCATGTGTTTGTGGATCTAGTAGATCTACTGTAGTTTCAAGATTTACCTTATTCTTCCATGACTTTAGCAGAGCAACTCCTCTCACTCACATCACTTGGAAAAGGTCTCTCCCATAACTTGGCTATTCCATATTGATGCTCTTTCCGGTCTATCTTTTTAAATTTTGTTGATATCCTTAGATCATCGTTCTTTATGATTCACATTTTCCCTGCATGGAATACAGCAGAGCAATTTCTCTAGTGTAGGTGTCATCACTTTCGCAAGGTGTCTCCAACACCATTGGAATGCCATTAAATCTTTTATCTTTCATCAGAAGTTGAAATCCCTTCTTTCCAATCTTTCCTCTGCCAATATTTTCATGTCGGTCAAGGTGACAACCCAACCCTCCTTTAGAGTCATTCAGATGTACACCCTTCAGATATTCCAGTCCAATGATCCGTTCAAAATCATTCATCATCTGTTCAAATCCACCTGTTGTTTTGAGATCATAACCAGCGGCAAAAGCATGACAGGTATCAAGACAAACACCAACACGAGATTTATCATGCACTCTATCAATAATACCTCTCAGTTCCTCAAATTTTCCACCAACCTATAACAAAATTGTATTGACACAACTATTATATATGGAAAATATAGAGAAATTTGGTTACGGCTGGGGAATGGGCACTTTGCAAAAAGTTAAAATCGAAACAAAGAATAACCAGACACATGGAGAACAGTGGGGACATGGAGAATATTCCGACACTGAACTATTACGGACATCACCGAATTGTATAACCGCATCAAAAATACGTATCCTTAACACCGTATTGTGGTTTTGCATGTTTACAATCCTATTTTTTTAACAGCTAATCGACTTTTTATAGTATATCTTACTACGAACCGGATTAACTGTTTAAAATATGAATCGTAAGATGCAAAACTGTGTAGGTGTGGTTGCAGATGTTTGTGGGAATTGTAGCGATAGGAATGCCACGGTTCGGTGAGACCCAAACTATTGCATGCCACACTTGTTTTGAAAAGCAAACTTATTAATTATCGAACGGTATGTACTGTCATGGTGAGACAATTCACGCACTTACGCACCGAAGGTAAGCATGCATATATATTACGGTCTGGTATACTTTTTTTCACCAAACCATACCACGTAGCTACGCGTGAGTCTTGCTGTTTGTGTACTTACATTTTTCTGGTACCATATAATGATCTTTCCAAGCCCAAGGGTATTGAAAACCGTAAATTAAGTCGATTGTGTAAATCCAACATGTCTTGGCATGCACTTGATTGGGCTTGTGGATGAGAAAGGGGACTGAGGAATTTGTAGTGTTGATACACGCAACTGTGTTCACTAACTTGGGTTAGTGAATGAATACTTTTTACAAAAATGTCCTTAATGCACTTTATCTTAAAGACTAAGTACACCTTTGAGTCTCAAGTTTGTACAAACTTAAGTACCATGCAGTCATGTACTGCACAACTGAAAATCTTGCATTATCGCACCTTTTTCGCTCTGTGACTGGCGAGAAAATCCAAACCTTCAATTATTAGATGCCTTCAAGTCGTATGTACATATGAGCTAGTTCCAATCTGGCTCAATTGTTTGATTGTGTATTCGCTATTTTAATTATTTATAGTTTTGCCTCAATTTTTCACTTTTTCTATACATGGTGAAAAAACCTTAGACATTACAGGAGGAGACATGTGACGCGTTTTATATAGGGTTTCATCTTGAAACTGCCGTTCTTCCTGGTTATCACTTATCGGAACATTCGTCCAAGTGGGAAGTGCTTGGTTGTGCACAATGTTTTTCTACAACTGACAACACTTAAGATGATGATTTTTAAAAGATGTAAAAACTTTCCCTCTTCATCAATGGTTTATATAAACTATTTTTATCCTCAACTTGTACTGATGACGAAACAAAATTTCGAGGGTTCAATTGGTTTTACTTTCCTTAATTTAACATCAACTTCAATCACTGCTTGAGAATACAATTAAATTAATAACGTGATATTTAAACTGTATTATGTCTTAGGATCTCGTCTTACGTTAGTGCAGTATTTATAAACTTTCATGCAGAGCCCAAAAAAACATTAATAGATCTTTTTTCATGTATTTCTTTATAATGACGATACAAAGAGCTGAGAGGGTTATTGGAACTTGTGAAATTTGGTTTATCAGTTGAAACTGCATGTTTTACCAGTCAACTGCAAATTTTATTCATTGCGGTCATATATGAACAGGGACTGTTAACTCTTGTTAATTACCTGCCATGTTGTTAATTACCTATTAGTAGTTTATGTCTTAGCGTGAAAGGTCCTTGTTTCACATGTATGTAGAGTATAAACATTTCCAATTTACCGCGCTTCAATTTTGCTCCAAGTTTCGTCACTTATTATTCCAGTATTAATCGTGTTTCAGAATTAACTGAAATACTTTTATTAACTCGGAGCACGTGGACATGAATATTTTCGTTTGTCTGACATTCAAATGTATACTTGTCTTCATTGTGTTTAAGCTTTGAATGATATTCATTCGTCTTGAAGTTTGACTTAGCTAATAAGAAAGATGGATGACTTTGTGATCATACAGTTTGGCTTTGTTCAATGTTGCTGTTCAGATATCATGATCTATGAACATGCAAACTTCATTGTTTCTTATTTCAGCTCGCTTACTAGCCATAATTGCGCGCTGCTCATATGACCTGGCTAGGCGGGAGATGACATTTACTAATACAGAGTGTAAGCTTCGCGTTATACGTCAAACGCCAGGAAAAAAAATTACGGTATCAGGGAAGAAAGAGTAAAATATTAATGAACTTGCGGTTTTAAAATTGAAATACATAATTATTCTTTCGACGCAAGAAAGAAAATATGAAACGAAAATATTCAACGAAAATTTTGCCAAGAAAATTCGAACCTGCCGTTTGCCGTTCCCGGAAACGTGAAGCTTAAAACTCTCTAATATTGCGGATATATACAATCCTGCCTGAGCGCAATATGTCCATTTCGAGAATCCCAGTCAGTACACAAGAAAATAAATTCACCATATACAGTAAACACTCTATCCAGGACAAGCAACAGAAATTTGCCTTCAAGCATGTGTCCCGCATAGTCTAGATCATATAATAGGTCCCGAATCGATCCTGGCACTACAATTGGAACATTTTAGGCCATAATCTTGTGCATTACCAGAATACCTGCACAAGAATCGGCCAAAACAAGGGAGCCGACGTTAACGAAGGTAAGTTTGTTTTAAATATTGATTTTATAATTGCTTTTAATAAAACCCGACAGCCTTTGCGCCATGAAACAACTGAACAAGACAGCATATAATTTCAGTGTATCTTTAATATCGATTCCCTTTTTTATTATATTGAATTTTTTAAATAAATAAAAAAGAAAGCAAAGCTATTTGCATGCGAGAATTTGAAATCATTTTATAACTCAAAGTTTATCGATAAAGCCAT